ATATGTTAAGTGGGTACTATTACAGTATCTATAGCAAAAGCTACATAAATTGAAAAAGTAAAATGGGGGGACGCTGCTTGGTTCATAGTAAGGGTTCCGTGGATGTTAGCTGGCCTTGGTGCTATTAAGAGGGACAAAAGAGAGTCTGTAAGCTGCAGAGGTACTGCAGCATCACTGAAGTTCTGGCAGAGAGAGGGCTTTAAGAGGCAGAATGGGCCAGGCGTGGTGGCTCACGCCTGTAATCCCAGCACTTTGGGAGGCTGAGGCAGGCCGATCACCTAAGGTCAGAAGTTTGAGACCAGCCTGGCCAACATGCTGAAACCCCATCCCTACTAAAAACAAAAAATTAGCCAGGTGTGGCATGTACCTGTAGTCCCAGCTACTCGGGAGGTGGAGGCAGGTGAATTGCTTGAACCCGGGAGGCAGAGGTTGCTGGGAGCCAAGACTGCGCCACTGCACTCCAGCCTGGGTGACAGAGTGAGATTCCATCTCAAAAAAAAAAAAAAAAGTTGCAGAATGGGGTCAGGATGGCTAGGATGACTATGGGAAACACATAGTGTGCTCATGAGTACATTATTTCATTAATTCTATGCAACTCTGTGCAAGGAACTACTATCTGCCCAAGTTAATAGATGAGGAAACCGAGGCTCATAAACAGAAAGTGACCAGCACCAGGTGGCTCAGCCAGACACATGTGCAGCTGGAATTTGAATCTACAACTGTACCATCCTACGACCCATGCACTCATGCTGCCCTTTAGGAGCCACCCAGCAGCGTGAGGGGAAGGAACAGGCAGGCCCCAGCAGTGTGGGGCTACAGCCAGGTGTACAGGTCAAGTGGGCAGATGTAGGCCACTCATCTTGAGACCTCTGGTCAAGAATGAACGGAGGGGCTGGGCTTGGTGGTTCACGCCTATAATCCCAGCGCTTTGGGAGGCTGAGGAGTGAGGATCGCTTGAGCTCAGGAGTTGGGAACCAGCCTGAGAAACATAATGAGACCTCATCTCTTTTTTTTTTTTTTTTAAAGATGGGGTTTCACCATGTTGGTTAGGCAGGTCTTGAATTCCCGACCTCAGGTGATCCACCCACCTTTGCCTCCAAAGTACTTGGATTACAGGCGTGAGCCTCTACGCCCGGCCCTCATCTCTACTTTAAAAAAATGAAGTAAGGAATAAGGCAATAATCTGGGGGCATGAAAGGGTCACCTAGGAGTTTTTTTCAGAGGGGGATGCAGGATGTGTTTTCAAGCAGGGCAGAAATGGAGAAGGAAAAGAGGCTGAGGGTATAAGATGGAAAAAGGTGCTTGGGGGAATGAAAAGTGCTGAAATTGGGCCATGTCTGAAGGAACTTCGTTTTGGACAAAAGGAAGAGAATGACCACAATGGGAGGGAGTTTATTACTGTATCAAAGGCAGTTTCTTCCACTCTGTGGGAAGAAAAGCTGAACCCCACCTTGGCACAGGTGTCTGGTGAGCTGGGAGGCCACACTTGATTGGAAACCAGAACATTTGTTCAAGGGCTGGGGATGTCTTAGAGAAAGCAAATTGGGTCCCTGCTGGGGATCAGACCAGCCTGAGCTCTGACCATCCACACACCCTTCCACCCAGGCACTCCACAAATCGTTGGCACTGACCAGAGAGTCAAAATTACACAAAACAGAGATGCTGTCTTCGCCGATGCGGCTTGCAGGCTGTAGGGGAGACTGGCAGGTGAACTGGTGGTTAACACGGGAATGATGCTTTAACTGGTGATGTGAATGGGGCCGTGGAAGCCCTGAGGAGGAGTCCCAGTGCAAAAGCGAGGTCTAAGCTCAGGGACACAGGAACGCGCAGGGGAGGAGCAGAGGTCAGAGTGTTAGGCAGAGCAAGTGGTTCTGCAAGTGGGCACGGTACCTTCCAGAAGCTGAATGGCATTCACAGCCCCTGGAGCACAGACTGCAGGTGTGGACAGGTGGCAACCTGCACTTTTTCCTCATGTGGCTGAAGAGCCATCGATGTCTTTTGAGCAAGGAGAGGCCTGATGGGATTTGGAGAGCCGCCTGTTTCCTCTGCCCCGCGGGATGGGACTGAGCATGCACCTGGCAGAGGATGGAGGGCAAGAGGACGCTGCGACCATCAGGTCAGGTGAGAGGTGACCTCAGCAGCAATTAGAGTGGGATGGCAGCTCATGAAATAGTCCAGAGAAGAGCTGAGGGGTCTTGGCAATGGTGAGGATGATGGCGTATACCAGTGAGAGGGTCACACTGGGGAGAGGTGGTGGGGGGCTTTTGTGTGAGGGAAGGGGAGAAATCTGTGTTTTTGTTTTTGTTTTTTGAGACTGAGTCTCGCTGTGGCCAGGCTGGAGTGCAATGGTGAGATCTTGGCTCACCTCAACCTCCACCTCCTGGGTTTAAATGATTCTCCTGCCTCAGCCTCCCAAGTAGCTGGGACTAGAGGCACGCGCCACCACACCCAGCTAATTTTTTGTATTTTTAGTGGGGACAGGATTTCACCACATTGGGCAGGATGGTGTCCATCTCCTGACCTCGTGATCTGCCCACCTTAGCCTTCCAACGTGCTGGGATTACAGGCATGAGCTACCGCGCCTTGCCAAAACCTGGTTTTGAAACCAGATTTTGATGTGCCCGTGAGACGTCTGGACGATCACATTCAGCAGGCAGCCAGACTGTGGGATGGTGGTTTGGAAGAGATGTGGGAAGGAGTCAGTGACTTAGGAGGCATCCGCACCAAATCAGAGGCCCAACTCCAGGTGCTGCGTAGGTGAATCTGTCTCATCTCCCCAGAAACAGGAAGACTGCCCTGCTGGGTAAAATGAGAAGGCCGAGGTTTGATTTTGATTTTTAAGGTGGACAAGACTTGAGCTTATTGAGACACTGATGGAAGTGTCTTGAGTTTATTGAGACACTGTGGGAAGGAACCCACATAGAGAGGTGCAGCTCCAAATGAGGAAAGGGATAGTTAGTGGACACACATCTCTGAGAAGTCCGGAGTTGTGTACGAGGATCCACCTTGGGCAGAGGAAGGGGGAAAGGGGCAGGGGTGGAGGTCTGAGGCAATAAATAGCTGCTGTACAGGTGAGAAGAGCCAGCCAAGGACCTTGGAGAGAGCACCAGGTGGTGCTGGGGGTGTGCTTGGAGCCTGTCACTCCACAGGGCCAGAAGAGGGTCGTTTTTGATGTTTTTTTTCCACAGGACTCTGCGCCTTAGGTATAGGGGAGGAGTTGACAAGAAGCTGAGGCTTGGTTGGCCACAGGCAAAGTCATGACGCCCGCCCTGCCATTCAAAGGCACGGAGAGGGGTGGGCCTGGAGGACAGCGGGTAGCCCTGCAGACATCTCTGCACAGAGCCTGAGAGGTTTGGCTAGACCTTTTTGAACCTGTTGATGGGAGTTGGAGGAGGCGCCTGGGAGGAACTTCATCCTGGGAGGTCACAAGGCGAGGCACTGATCGCTGGCCTTTCGACTAGAAGAGCAGAAAAGCACCAGGGGAGTCCGTTGCAGCAGCAGCCAAGCTGCACAAGGGCAGATATCTTTGTGAAAACATCTGAGAAACCCGTGAGGGCCTCCCAGGGCGAGGGTAGCTCCAGGTGGCTTTGCAGGAGGAGAGGAGCCAGGGAAAGTGGAGTGACCGCAGGAGCTCGGACCCCAGCTCAGTGCTGCCTGGGGATGCTCCGGTCAACATTCATGCACACAAACTGCCTGTAATGTCACACTCAAACCCCCAAGTCGCACCCACCTTTTTCAGGGCACTTACAGACTGGAAGCATGTGCCCTCCAAGCTTCATCCTTTATGCTCATAGTGACCCCATGGGAAGGGTGCTTTGATGCCCACTTCTCAAAATGAGAGAAGAGAGGGTTGGAGAACTTAAGGAATTTTTCTAACATCACACAACTCACAGGTGGTGGAGTCGAGCCTGAGTTTGTCCTCACGTCTTTTCGTATGGCATGCTGTTTCAGCTCCATGGCTCTTTGTTATCATCAATCTCTCCCATATACCCAAAGCTCCCTTCTTTGGGCTTACTCAGCACATGGCAAGCCCAGCCAAGATCAACTCTTTGCTACTACTCCTACCTTCAGAAGCATGGCTGACTGGCTAGAAAGAAAAAAAAAAACAAAAAACTCACCGTGATGGCCAAATTCATGGCCTTGAACCTCAAGTCAGTCCAGTGCGGCCCTGGTGCTGTCTGGCCCATTCACTCTCCCACTACTGCAGATAACTATTTCATAACTTCTCCTCCTGAACTTACACTGCTGGAAGGATCCAGGACGCCAGCGTGCTGCAAGGTTATGGTGGGAAAGCCCCATCTCTGACCATCAGAGAAGGCGCCTGGGGTCTGGATATCAGTACCGACTACCCCCCCTGCCCAGTTCCCAGAGATCAGCTAAATATGCACATTCCCTGGGGTTTGGCAACAAATGACTCCCCTGATGCTGATTCACATATTTAATGTGCTCTTTGGGAGTGATGGTATTCTGAAGAAGGGTGTATTAGCACCGTGTTATTCTGGGTGAGCAGCGTTAGGGGACCCACAATGACTGTGTTCTATGTGGCTCTTCCCTGTCCTGTCTGCATCAGGAAGAAGATACACCACTAACATAAGGCTAGAAATGTGTCACCTGGATGCTTCTCACCTGAGGGGGTGAGGGGACTTTGGATGAAACTTGGGAAGATTCACTGCAGCTCCCACTTCTCCTGGGATGCACCAGTCCAGCAGAGCTGCTGTGCGTTCCACCCGGTTCCATGCACCATGTCTACACAATGAGCCCCAAGCAGAGATGGCATTTGAGTGGAAGAGTCGGTTGAGCAAGGTAACTCCTTTAAACCTCACTGCTCCTGCCACCCGTCCAGGGCCACAGAGCAGAGAGTTCAGCGGGGCTCCAGTCTCTCCCTACCTGGTGATCATGGTCCTGTGGTTTGCAGGCTTCTTTGTGAACCACAGTAATTATTTAGGAAGCTTAAAAATATTAGAAAAATGTTATTTAAAAGCATTAGATTTTTTTTTTTTGAAAGAGGTTTTAGTGTGGCCGCAGGGAGCACTGCCTTAGCCTCGCGCTAGTGAGGACACAGGCCGTCCTCCGGGGGGACTGCGGCGGGGAACGCGGTGGGGTCAGAGCGCTGTGTGGTCCTGCAGAGGCAGCTGAGCTTGGGTCTCAGGTCGTTCCACACCTTGCTCATCTCCTTGTGCCCTTGGACCTGGGAGGATGTGGGAGGTGAGGGGTGGGTAGACGTGGATGAGCTGCGTCTCCTGGTGCAGGCAGTACGGGGAGAAGTAGTTCCGCAGCTCCATGGTCTGAATCACATTCTCCTGCTCCACAATGCGGGACTCCAGCTGCTCCACGGACTCCAGCTCGCGGTTCTGCACAGCGGCACTCATCTGCCTCTTCATCAGGCTGTATTTGTGCAAGGCCCGCTGGTGCTTGTGCAGCATACCCTTCTCGTGCCACTCACACAGGTCGTTATACGACTGCAGCAGATCCAAGAAGAGGCTCAGCTTCTCCACCACGTCATTCTCCTCCTGCTTACCCTGTTGTGCAGCCTTGTCTGCCAGCAGCACGAATTCCACAGACAGGCCTTTCAGAGCCTGCTTCAGGGACCCCCACGTGCTGCTGTTCAGAGCGGCCCAGGAGGGCAGCGGGGTCGTGTCAGACCCTGTGGCACTTTGCTCCTTCCCGAATATGAGAAGATCTGCCGCCTTGTGGATGGCCCTCCACGCGATCCGCTCAGCCCTGTCCCGAAGCTTGTGAAAGCTGTTGTAGGTGTTCCGGATCAGCTCCCGGCTGATGGCAAACTGAGCTTGGATGTCAGCTGGGACGACATCTCGGCCCTGGTAGCCAGCTTACAGTTCATGAATTCGTCCCCAGAACACTGTGCCGATTCCTTTAACTTGTTCTGCACGCCGCTGAAGGACAGGAAGAGCTTGAGAACTACATCCTCGGAGAACAAAGCGCTTCAGAGCTCTCCTCCTGGCCTCGAACTCCCTGTCAGCTCCCAGCATCCTGTTGGATGGCAGGGCAGGCACCATCCAGTAGGGGAACTTGTGCAGGACCGTCTCCTGGAAGACCACGAAGTCGTTGTACCGTCTGTACACGGAGGACTTGAAGCTGGAAACCTCATACACCACATGCTTCAGGAAGAGGCCCTTCTTCTCCGGAATGAGCTCCGTCTCCACCTCCACCTCCCTGGCCAGCAGCTCCTGCAGGCTGTGGGACAGCAGCAGTGGGTTTCCCTGCAGCATCTGCATTCGACTGGGGGCTGGGGCCCGCTGCACAATGGCCTGGGGCATTGGCAGGTCTTCTGATTTGTTGTTCTTCCTCTTCAGCCATTTCTCTACTCTCTCTGCACTAACACTATCAGATACAAATTCGTCTAATACCTTGGGGTGAGGAGAAAGACATGCCTTCACTTTTTCATCGGTAAAGCCATATAATGTTGCCATACTGGTTAACCATCAACTGCTGGGTCACAGGCAGGAGTGGGAGTGTGTGTCTGGCCAACAGCCTGGGGCTGGTGAGCGGGCCTCCAAGGCCTCTTCCACAGCCTTCCTCCCTGGTTTGGCATCAGTTACACAAACTCACCTAGGAATGCAGACTTGCACAAATCCTTAGATTACTTTCTTTCTACCTGGAGACAAAGGTAACAGGCTGATGCGGTCTCTCATGGCCAGACTCTCAGGCCCAGGATTGGCCAACTTAAAAAAATAAAAGCATTACATTTTTAGTAACAATCTAGCTCCATAACTATCTAAATGTCTACTGGAAACAAGCAGACATTTCCTTCTTAGGTTCTAAGTTGAGGTGGCTTTCCTTAGTGGCGAATACTGCTTGTGAAAACCACAAATCTCAGAGTTGTCTCTGTCAGGTTGAGTGTCCATGCAGACACCAGGGAATGGCAGTTGGTACATATCTCAGTCCTGGCAAGACCCAAGTAGGAGTCCCTTAAGGATGAGACACAACATGAATCAAAGTTGAAGAAGTGACAGATGTCCATAAAGTCCCCTTGGTGGAGGAGTTGGTCCCAATGGATGAGGCTGGAGCTAGCATTCTTCTGACAGGGAGACCAGGCTGGGTATTCTGCTCAAGTCAGCCTGTTGGATTCCCTGGCTACACATACACTTGGTAGCCCTGGGAAAATCCAAGTCCACAGGCTGAGCCACAGGAAGATTCTAGTGCAGGAGCTGCTGGATTGGGGTAGGGGACAGGGGCAGGTAGAGGCAGAGATTTAGGGCATAGGAGGACTACGCCCTGAGCACTTCTAAGAGCTAGGAAGCAGTGTTCGCATCAGAGCTGACTTCTCTGCAGAGCCACTGTTGAAGAGCCAGAGGAGCAGAGCAAGAGCCGAATCTGAGCACCAAGACTTCTCTCTGGTGTCAGGCCTCAGGCCTCAGGCCAGTTTCCTCCTCTTAGCCCTGGTCATGAAGGGCCCTCACACTTCCAGGCCCCCTGCCATCCTCATCACTCCACTTATGCAAATCTCTCTCATGAATTTCCCAAGCCCCTGCCTGCTTGCCAGGACCCCCCAGTATCAGGCTGCTTTCTGGGAACCCATTGCTTTCTTAGAGCCGCAGAGCTCTGCGAGTGGCAGACCTGGGAAGTGAAGCAGAAGCTTCTCAGGGAACCAGGAGCACTGTGCAGGGACAGAAAGTGGAGCCCCACCCTGCAGAGTCTCAGGTCATGTGGCCTGGTGTGTCTAACGATGATAACAAGTCTAAGGTTCTAAGCAGACACTGCTGCCTCTTCACGCTGCTCAAAACAGCGATGAGGAAAAGGAATATGAGATAGAGTTCCAAGGTGAATGGGAAGTGTCAGGGAGTGGGAAGTTATGGGTGGCAGACCTGGGGACCATTTTTCCTCTCCACTCTCTGAAATGACTTTCACACCTTTTTCTCTCTTATACTTCCAACAGCCCTGCCTCTCCTTACTCTCAGCTGTTACATTGCTTCCCATTTAACTGGGAAAACATGTAAACTACCCCAGATTTTATTAATAGCCGACTCTTAAGCACTGGACCACACCCTACTTCCTACTCGAGGCCATCCCTCCTGCAATTGACCTCTGTCTACTTGCATCATTAGTTTTTCCCTCTCTGTGGGATCATTTTTGAGCACATCATGCTGGGGTGATGAACTTTTAAAAATCAGCTCATTGGGGAGAGATAGCATGGGGAGAAATGCCAGATGTAGGTGATGGGGAGGAAGGCAGCACATCACACTGCCATGTGTGTACCTATGCAACAATCTTGCATGTTCTTCACATGTACCCCAAAACCTAAAATGCAATTAAAACAAATCAGCTCGACCGAGGTATAATTTGGGTATAAAATGCACCCACTTAAAATCTGAAGTTGGATGAGTTTGACAAATGTATACACCTGTGTTGTCATCACTACAGCCATCATATTATGTAAATTCTCGTCACCCTCAAAAGGTTTCCCATGGCTAAGTAGTATTCCCTTGTATGGATACAGCACAGTTTGTGTATTCATTTGCCTATTGGTGTACAATTATGTGGTTTCTACTTTTTGGCTATTATGAAAAGTACAGTGAACGTTTCATCTGTGAGTCTTTGTGTGGACGTATGTTACCATTTCTCCTGGGTAAATATCTACAAGTGGAATAACTGAGCCATATGATAGGTTTAATTTTATGAGAAACATCCAAACTGTTTTTCAAAGTGGTGGTACCACTTTACATTTCAATAGCAGTCTATGAGAATTCCAGGTGCCGCCACACTTGGTATTGTCAGGTTTTTTCCCCCCAACTTCAGCCATTCTATTTTGTGTTTGCATGTGGAGTATGTTCATTTTGGTTTCAATGTGCATTTCTCTGATGACTGATGTTGAACTTCTTGTCTATCCAGATATCTTGTTTTGTGACGTATCTGCATATCTTTTGCTTATTTTATTATTATAGTTTTCTATATATCACATTTGTCAGCCTAAACCAAAAACTAAAATCCATTTATTATCTCTCAGTTTCCATGGGCAAGGCATGGGTCAGCTAGGTCTTCTGCTCCAAGTCTCACAAGGCTGCAGTGAAGGTGTCAGCCAGGGCTACAATGTGATCTGAGATTCACGTCTTCTTCCAAGCACATGTGGTTGTTGGCAGAATTCATTTCTCTGCAGCTATGGAACTCATAGTGGCTTGTTTCCAGGCCAACAGTGGAGTTTCTCTTCTGCCTAAAGAGCCTCATTTTTAAAGGCTTGCCTCATTAAGTCAGGCCCAAGGACAGTCTCCCTTTTGATTAGTGAAGCTGCGTCATTGTCTGGGACAAATACAGATTTGTTGCCTCACAGCTATGAAAAACTAGGATGTGGACACACCAGAGTGAGTTTAAGAGCAGAAGTTTAATAGATGAAAGAGAAGAACTCTCTGTGCAGAGAGGCGTCCCAGGGAAAATGGGATGCCAATTCCACAGCGGAATGCAGTGGGTTTTATAGATGAGATTCAGGAGATGGTGTCTGATTTACATAGGGCATGAAAGATTGGTTGGACCAGCCATTTGCATAGCTCAAGAAGAAGCTGGCCACCCCATCCTAATCTTTTCTTATGCAGATGGGTTCTCTACCTGGCTGGTGCCATGTTGTCTGGTTCTTTACATGTGGTGAAAAAGAAGAGGGAAAATGGAGCCTCCATGTTGAACGTACCTGGCTTCCAGGTAGCCTCTCCTATTGGCATAGCTGCCAGTGTTCACCCATGCAAGCTTCCAGTTTGCTTATCCATGTCTGCGGCTCGATTTTCAGGCTGTGTTAGAAATTATTTGGGGGCTGCTTTTGTTAAAAGGGAAGCCTTGCTGAGGACTCCTTTACCCTATCTGCCTAAATTTCTGGTTCCTGTGTCATTAGCTCAAAGTCAACTGATGAGGAACCTTAATTACATCTGCCAAAATACCTTCACATAATATAATGTAACCTAATCACAGGAATGAGATCCATAATATTGAACTCCTATATTCAAGGGGAGTCACTGGGGATCATCTTAGAATTCGTACCATGCCCATTTTTGTATTGGGTGGTTTGTCTCCTTACTGAATTGGATGAGAACGTCATAAATTCTGGGTACAAGTTCTATGCAGATGTATGTATTGCAAATATTTTCTCCCAGGCTATAACTTGTCATTTCATTTTCTTAATGGAATATTGGGAGAAAAGAAATTTTTAATTTAAATGAAGTCTAACTTCTCAACTTTTTTTTTGTATGGTTCATGCTTCTTATTCTTACACAAGAAACATTTGCCTATCCAAAGGCTACAATATTTGCTCCTATATTTTATTCTAGAAGTTTGATAACCTTAGCTCTTTTTTTTTTTTTTTTTTTTTTTTTTTTTTTTTGAGACAGAGTTTCACTCATGTTACCCAGGCTGGAGTGCAATGGCGCGATCTCGGCTCACCGCAACCTCTGCCTCCTGGGTTCGGGCAATTCTTCTGCCTCAGCCTCCTGAGTAGCTGGGATTACAGGCACGCACCACCATGCCCAGCTAATTTTTTTTGTATTTTTAGTAGAGACGGGGTTTCACCATGTTGACCAGGATGGTCTCGATCTCTTGACCTCGTGATCCACCCGCCTCGGCCTCCCAAAGTGCTGGGATTACAGGCTTGAGCCACCGCGCCCGGCCTAACCTTAGCTCTTAAATTTAGTTCTATGACCCATTTTAAGTCAACTTTCATGTATGATGTGAAATAAGAGTTAAGATTCAATTTCCCCCCAAATTGATACCCCGTTTTACTATACCATCTGTTGAAAACACCATTTTCTCTGTTGAATTACTTTGACACCTTAATTGAAAAAAATAAATTGACATACATAAACGAGTCTAATTCTAGATGCTCTGTTGTTGCATTGGTTTATATTTCTCTACTTATATCTACAGTAATGTACATAATTGCTATATATTTATATTAAGTCTTAAAATTAAATTATATCCTTCAGCTTTTTGTTCTTTTCCAAAATTGTTTAGGTTATTCTATGGCACAAAGGTCATATTTTGATATAAATTTTGGCTTGCCAACTTCTAAAAAAGAATAAGCCTGCTGGGTTTGCACATATAACTCAATTTGGGAAGAAATGCCATTTAATGATACTGAATCTTCTGATCCATAAATCTGGTATATATCTCCATTTTCCTTCAACATTATCTTGTAGTTTTTGGTGTACATGTTTGCACATATTTTGTTAAAATTTCCCTGAATATATATCATAGTTTTTGGTGCTGTTATAGACGGCATTTAAAAATTTCATTTTCAGGCCAGGTTCAGTGACTCACACCTGTAATCCTAGCACTTTGAGAGGCCAAAGCAGCTGGATCACCTGAGGTCAGGAGTTCAAGACCAGCCTGGCCAACATAATGAAACCCTGTCTCTACAAAAATACAAAAAGTAGCCAGGCATGATGGTGGGCTCCTGTAATCCCAGCTACTTGGGAGGCTGAGGAAGGAGAATCAC